AACCTGTAATCCATTGTGTTTTACCAACATTGTCAGGGATAAAGTGTTACATCCTGTGTTTAATGACCAATACATTTTCTGAAGCATTCACCAACAAAGGATTCCTCTCATTGCTGCTGGTTTATCTGGTCAGTCGCAGGACTTCCTCGCACAGCAAGAGCATCTTTCATCTCCCCCAAGGCTGCAGAATGAGAAAGACATTAGAAGCATTATTAGAATTTATCTGTGGTTATATAAGCAACGGCTGAGAAACTCTGACCTTTTTTAAGTTGCTTGTTCTCAGCTTGCAGCTGCTGGTTCTGCGCTGACAGGTAGATGGCATCCTGCACAGCTTCCAGCAGCACGCTCCTATATCTGCCTTCTGAAATCTTCCTCTGCTCCTCACTGACTTCACGAAACACCCTGAACACCTGCAGAACGGCAGAAAACAAACGTCTTATTGTGTTTTTGTTGGAAAATTAGTGTTTGGTCAATTATTAGTTTTAACAGAACTTATTGAATATTTATTTCTCTAAAATGTCTTTTTTTTCTTCTTCTTTTTTTTGATTATTTAATTGATTTCTGCAATTAAATTTTAATCCTTAACCAGAAAGTGGTCTCTAAAGTTTACGATAAAGCCATAAACCTCCACAGCTGCCTGGCATCTCCTCCTTATACTGATCACACACTGCTGAGTGGTAGTTGGGACTGAAACAATTAACCAGATTATTAATCTGGTTAATTGTGATTAATCAATTATTGAAATCATCAACTATTTTATTAATTGACTAATCGTTAACTGAAGTGTAGAGACTGAATCATACCTTTAGCTGACAGAGTGACCCAATTAGAGCAGGAATTATACCATTATTGTAAAAAAAATATATATATATATGTAAACATTTTGCATTCAAGTTAAATTTAAAAAAAAGAATTCCTCTTTCTATATGCTCTATCCAGAATTCCTCAAGTAGAAAAGTTTATTTCACCTGCTGTAATTTCATTAAAAATATTCTTTAAGGAACTTTTGGTAATTCGATTATTAATCGATTAATTGAAGAAAAAAATCAAAAGATTAATCAGTTTGCAAAATAATTGTTAGTTGCAGCCCTAGTGGTAGTATAAATCTAAAACCAAAATTTGTTGTAGGTTTGATAAAATGGTTTGGTTGGACATTCTGTTACAAAAGGCACAACCAAGAGAATCTTATATTTAATATGAGCCGTCAGGGAGAAGAATCATAACAGAAACGGGGTTGTATAAAACAGTGTTGTTTGATATTATAAATGCGATCGGTTTAGCTCAGGGGTCAGAAATCTAAAGAGCCATTTTCTCCTGAGGAATTTTCTTCTGAGTCCAGCTTAGTAAAAGTCATTTAGAGCCGCAAAATATTACATGACCTTTTAATAAAACACAACTTTTTTTATATGTGCAACAGGAGATCTGTTGGTATTTCAAACAACATGTTATATTTTTAGATTTTCAAATAAAGACGAATATGACCATTTATAAAAACAAAGCATTGATTTTCTTCCATGGGTATTGTTTGATGTAACGAAAAAAAAATAAAATGCATAATTCACAAACTAAAGAAAAGAAAAGTAGCCCTAAAAACGTACTTCTGGTTCTTTTAATGTAATTCGGTTGTAAAAAGTTCAACTCAAATATTCATTCTAAAACCATTCAAGTTTAGACTAGTATATTTTATTATAGTATATTAATTAGTTCTTTATATAATTTTTAGCCACTAATAAGAGGCATTATAGGGGGTCCAAAGAGCCACATGCGGCTCCAGGGAGGCAGGTTGCAAACTTATGGTCTGACCCAGAGCTACACCTCATTATTGCATCACCTGAAAAGGTCAATAAAAGTACTTCTAGGTCTCAATACAAACCATTTCATAACCATTATAAACAGAGAAGAACTTTTTAGTAATATATTCTATAGAGACTAAGAGTGAAACTTCAAAAAGCAAAGGAAAAGCTTTAAGAAGATAACTCTAGGTCTGATTTCTAACCTCAGCAGGCGGTTTTTCACCCTGCAGTTTGATTTCATAAACATCCTGAGGATTCAGTCCTAAACGCTGCTCTGCACTGTGACCCGTTGTATAATGTTTTCTGAACTCTCCATCTCGCTGCTCTCTGAACCAAAGACCTTGTAGCTTTTTTCTCATGCAAATATTTTACTAACCCAATAAACACCATACTTTGTTGGCTTTAGTTTGAACCCAATAAACCCCCACCTGCAGGCTCTCCTCCCTCAAACAATGCAGCTCTGTTTGGTGTCTGTGATGCTGTTCCTGAAGGTCGCTCTCTGCCTGCTGGGCCTCGGCACGAAGCGCCTCTATGTGCATCAGCAGGATCTGCCTCTCTCTGCTCAACACCAGCAGCTCCCTCTGAGGGCTTTCTGTCTGATGGAGCAATGAGTAAACAGAGTTAGCTGAAAGAGATACCAGCGTTGGTTTGGAAGTGCGGCCGTTTCTGCATGGCCATAAATTCAGACTTGCATTTATTCAAACTGACTCAGCATTTTTGTCTAAGATGGATCATAAACAGAATGTAAACAACAGGGTATCTCATTATCTCACCGGTGGCTGCTCCTGCGCCAAGTCTCTCTCCATCTTCGCCACCTCCTCCTGAATTAATCTCATGTGATCCTCCTTAAGTTGCCTCCTCCGCTCCTGTGCTTCATTGTATTCCAACTGAGACTAATCATTAAATTGACAAAATAAACGTCTTAGTGTGTGTTTGCCACTAATCCAAGCATAAAGCTTATTTAGATGTTGAAAACTGTTGGACTAAGCCGTTTAAAAGTGTTATCAGACTAGGAAGTTGCACATGTAAAGCTTTTTGCAAATGGTTACCCTCAGAGTCAATAATTACAACTGTTTCCAACAATTTCTCTGACTAGATCTTGATGAGGAGGGTTTAATAATGCTTTTGAGAGAGGTAGTCTACTTACAGGAGTAGCGTGAATGCTATTTAAGAGGCTTAAGTTTCTGAAGTGGAGAAAATGGTATTGGAAAGGAAATGAATAAATGAAAAAGATTTGCTCAGGGTTTATATTTGAAGTTGAGCTCTAGGGATTTTCTCCCATCTCTCCCTTAATGCTCTTATCAACAAATTAAACTATTTACAGTGGGGTAAAAAATGTTAACTGATGTGAAAGTTGGTAGCATTAAGAATAAGCTAATAACCAAGACTCCTACTTAACTCATAGAAGTATGATCGATGAGTGTGAAGCCATGTCTAATCCATCTAAACTTTGTTAAAGGAGGTATTATTCAGGCACTGCAGCCCAAAAGAAGATAAGGAAGGGGAACTTGTGTCTCTCCATGTGCTTGGCAGCAAACAAAGCATGGCTTCCCTATCTTCAGTGGCATATAAGGTGCGTTCCACCTATATTCAGAGGTCTGAAGAGCAAATTTAGAACTGAACGGTTACTGAAAGTAAAAAAAGTAGGGGTAACCCAACACCCTACCCCTGCATTCAAGATGGCTGCTACTTGCATCGACAGTAAGGCTGGACAATTCTGCCATTTACAATTTCATCACAATTTCAGAAAATGGAGTTCACAACTGCAGTAAAATGCATTACGTTGGTCTGCAGCCACACAGATGTGAGCTAAAAGTGTGACTTTTTAAATGATATTTAGTCTGTCATACGTGAATTCAAGTGTTTATAAGACAAGGTGTTTCAACATTGTTTGCGTAAAAAAAACACTGTGCCATTCACATAGTTTTAACAGTGGCCATACATGCACAGTTCAGAGATTATGTGACTGAGTTCCAAGTGCTGCATTTTAATGGAGTGCAGCATTATTCATAGACAAGACGGGGCAGATAGCGAGCTCCTGTAGCGTTGACCGGAGGACTTCAAATGTCAGTCAGAAAACAAAAAAAGGTCTCTTCTTCTGCACTCTAAAATTAGACTTAAGATAAGTGGTCATATGGAAGACACAACTAGTTTCAGACTGAGTTTAAATGATCTTTGCACATGAAAGATATTCTATTGCCATAACAATACTTCCCACTGTCATGTGAGGTACAGTAGAGGCGGTGTCATGCTGTGGGGTAAACACAAGACCTGCCTTGTTTTTAACCAAATGAGATGCGAGCAAGAAAGTACCTTGCCTATTCTTCTCTTTGTTACACATAGTTGTGATATTTTGTTTTTTTATTTTAAAACCTCAGGTACAAAGACTGTTATGAAGTGGTATCAAGTTTGGATATAGGCCACTGAGTTAGTAAGACCTCACTAATCATGGTCATAAATAGAGTGTATATGTTTCTCTCCTTAAGATAATTAGTAAAACCCATCTAGAGTAAAAACTGAATACCTTCAGCTCAATCAGCAAACCACATAGAAAATGCAGAATCTGAGACAATGTCGGCTACAGTACTTGTTGAGGGAGTTGAGACTCTCTTAAAACATTTCTGTTCTTCAGTGATTCTTCTCTGAGAGCTTCTTTCAGCTTTTGGATTCTGGTCACCCTCTCCTGGACCTTTTCAGCACTGTCTTTCCCTTCTGGAAATACCAGAAAAAAAGACTACATGGTCATAATTATGCCTTAAAGATTAATTAACATTTTGAATTAAAACATGCTACCTTTGATGTGTTCCTCCATTTCTTGTCTTAACCTTTCCTGCAGATATTTAGCTGTTTCGGTGTCGTCTTTATGATCAAAAAGGAAATCTGCAGAAAGCATCTGGGGGCTGACTGATGATTTCTGTGAAGTTTAAGAGAATATGGACGTCAGTTTATTAAAAAGAAATATGGTTCGATAATTTTGCTTTAAGGGGAAAAGATTCCAACCTTAATTTTAACTTTTATCTTCTCTGACTCCTCTCTTCTCTTCTCCCATGACTGATTTTTCACTGTCTATTTTAGAGATGGTAGACTGAACTTTCACTGTAATGCTTCATTGGAGGTTGTAGATTTCCTAGTATAGTATTTACCTTTAGATTCTGAGTCAGCTGAGCTAACTTGTAAATGTTGTGAACCTGATTTTCTCCCAGCAGCATCACATTTTGTAGCTCCAGGATGCTTTCACGAAGCTCCTGCTCTGTTCTCTTTGGATTCCAGCGAACAGAAGTGGGTTTAGTAACTAATCCCCTCACTTTCTGAGCCAAATGTAGAGCAGATTGAGTTTCATCATCGACGAAACCTGAGAAGACGTAATATCCAAAATTCAGTTCTAAATAAACTTCCTCTCCACTCTGTTTTTACTCCTTTTACCTTGAGAGGTGATGCAGTAAATGAGGAATGTTCTGTTGTTTCCTGTAAGAGCATCTTTAAGCAGAGCATTAAGGAGGCTGTCACTGACTGAAGAAGGAGGATTATGGTCCAGAATCTTCAACAGTGGGATGACCCTGTAAAAAAAAAAAAAACAAGTTGTAAATTAATTTGCTAATGATTTCTTATTTGTGTTTTTATTCATATGTTTGAACTAAATGACTTAAGCTATAGCTGAAAGTCCTCTCTTGGTTTTGGTTTGGTGTCACTTTTTGCAGGATGCTGCATCAAGTACAAAAACACAGTGTATGTTTTTATATGGGTGCATTCTTGTTGCCAGTTTCAATCTGCAGAGACTCAAAATTTAATGGATATGCAAGATGGCATAATACAGGTTTTGTGTTGGCTTTATTTTTAAGAAACCAAATACAAACGCCCACTGAAGCAAACTAGCAATCGTTTATGACCAAATTACCTTGAGTGCTTTATAATAAGAATCCATGAAATAAAAAAAAAGATAGTAGGAAAACAATAAACAATCAATATTTACACAAAACCTTTTCAGTACTTACAAATACAAATACATATTCTTACATTGGAAAAATAACTATTTTAAGCACTGCCCTCTTGGTTTACTCCAAGGGCCTTTAAGCAACACCTGCAGAATATCTCTCATATTTGCTGCCACGCTCCGAAAAGGAAAGGAAAAAACCAGAAGAGATGAGTGCTTTCCAACTAATCAGGTACGGTGAAAAACTAACGAGTTAAAGAAACAAATCTAAAGAAACAAACTGACCAATTATTATTTCAACTCTTGTTATATGGAAAGGATGACCAGCACCCCTGCTTCAATGGAATCTCTTTAAAAAAGTGTCTTAAAAGATCAACAATAAAGAACTGAAAACAACTCAGCTGTCTGTAACTTAGCTAACCCAGATGTGGGTAGAGTGGTCAAAAGAATTAAGAATATGGAGTAGCCATCCAAGAAGTGACTAAAGAGTAAAAAAGTATTTAGTAAAAAGTGCTACACAGGTACTGAGTAACTAATCATAACATCCATTGTTTACAATTTGATAAAAATAGAACAAAATGTAAGGTTATGTCCAGATTCTGATATTTTAAAGACTATAATAAAACTCTTAAAGGTATAGTGCAGGATGTTTATTTCCAGGTGGATCATCAAAATAAGTGGTCCTTCTAATTGTCAATCACTCTGGTAATATTCTGGTGCCCGTCTCCATTTTCACCGGTGGTGAGTCTGACATAGTGAAAAAATTGCAAACCTTCTTTTGGAATGAAAGCTTGTATGAGTGATGCAAACAGCAACTTTTAAACAGAGCATGCACAAGGAGAAATGGGCTCATGCACGCTCTCGCACATGTTTATTAGGCGTTCCCTATCAGGAGTGGGTACAGGATTGTGCATGTGCATTTTTTTTTTAAAGACAAGAGGGCAAATCTTCTCAAAAATTCATTAAAATCCTCCGCAATACCTTTAAAATAATGTAATAAAAAAATCCAACTCCAGGCAAAAGAACTTTTCTAAACCAGTTTTCTTTTAAACATTAAAAATTTTGAAACCAGTTCCATCATTGACCAAATTTACTCTTTACTGGATATTATAGCATGACCTCCACATGTCATGGTCGGTTCAGGTAAGCCTGTGTACAAAAAAGAACAAATTTTGACATGAAACATGTTTTGAGAACCTAAAAAAGAAAAAACAAGCTTGTTCTGTGAAGTCACACGCAATGGATTGAGCAGTAAAACTACACCTACAACTATTTTCCTGTCAAAAACTTACTCATATATCTGCATAAATATGATTTTTTTTCCATCCTATCTCTAAAACACACAACACCAATAATTACATGTCATGAAGTAATAAATATATTTTCATTACCCTTGTCCTGAACCAGCAGGGCTGTACAGTAATTCACTTCATTTTATTTAAATTGCGCCCATTCTCAACACGTGCTTTACAGAGACAATACTGTCAGATTGGTTAAAAGTTTTTGTCAAGGAAAACCAGCTGATTGCATCGAGTCATCCATGTTACTCCTGGATGAGTTTGAAGCAACGACATTCGCTTGCATTTTGTTGTTGTCTCTTCAGCAATCCCTCACACAGAACAAATACATGTCCCCTTACATCCCTACTGTTTAGTTATTTTTTCTTCCTTCAAAAAAACTGTGATAGAACATAATTTTGCTTTTAACTCTATATTCTTTGTACATATTCTGGACCGATGTTTCTTTTTGTTTGGATTATTTTTCCTCTGTCTCGTTCCTGTCATCCCAAATGGTGGCAGGTGGCTGCTCATACTGAGCTGCTTATTTTACAAAAATATCTCTGAATGAATTTATATCACTTTCCTAAATAACAGAATGACTGTCAGAGAGAATGACATATCTGGGAGTCTGCAAGAATATGACAGGCCTTATGGGGGAAGCATGCCAGAAGGCTTTTTTTTTTTACAAGAACCCCCTGCTGTTAACACATTGCCTTGATTTATGTCACTTACTTCCTTGTCATTTGTATGTAAATAGGCACTGTTCTCTCTGGCAGATGGTGATGATTCACCAAATACATACAATAATCTTCTTGGAATGATTAATTCAGTAAAATTGAGAGATGTAGTTTCAATCAAAAGTGCAATTATTGTAGAGAAAAATTCAAGCATAAAATGATATATGTGATTTTCAGTACCTCTATCTTATTCACAATAACTTAATGATCCATCTCAGAGCTACAATAGAAATTGTATATAAATGAGAAGTACACTTTATTAGATTAAATTGGATTTGACTTTTTTAAGGCTTCCAGACTTCTTTGTTGTATTTGGCAAGAGAATATGAAAATGTTTTACCCCTGATTTACTGAGTCAGCTTAATGTTTTGTTTTTTGGATTTATACCCTTGCCCTGAAAATAGGCACAGACTAAACAGCTTTGCTAAAATATGCAGTAAACTATAGGGATATGTTCTGCAGAGCTCCCCCAGCTCCTGTTAACCTGCACCACCCTTATTTCTCTAACTATAGGTTACTTCAATCGGCTCCCACACACATAGTGATAAAGTGCCACACTGAAAAAATGTAAAAATTCAAATTTTTTCCTATAACTTTCAGCCTTTTTTGATGATCTATTCTGATGGGCCAACATAGAGACTGCAGTCATACTTGTTTGATAACTACTATAGCTTTTTTCTTATATCTGACCATTCATTTCAAAAATGCTTCGCTAGTCTTAAACAAAAAAAATATTTTGCTGTCACTCAAAGGGTTTTTTCAATTATTTTTTGTATATATTATAATGGATGTATGAAGGAAGGCTCTTCTGTAACGGTGTGTCTTGCATCGGATCGGGAGAAGCCTTTGACTTAAGAAACTCTGTTGTGGTTTAAAAGTCTGTTGCTCATGGTTTTTTGCAAAAATCAACCAAAACTGACATTTTTTTTTACTGCTTTAAAGTGCATGAGGGAAGTTTTTGGGCAAAGGAGGGCTGGATGTGGGAAGGATAAAAGAATGATGACATTGTCCTGAACTAAACCAGCTGAAGAACATGTTCAATTTATTGTCTGTTCAATTCTCTTTGAGTGAGGCCTGCAATCTTCTTCATCCCTGACCTTCTTCCTCTGCTTTTTGTTAAAAGCATAGCATTGCATTCCTGTAATTCAGGCTGTGTCCTTACCAAGGCTCAAAGTTCCATCAACTTTGTTTCAGTTTGGGGCTGTATGATTAGTTACATAGCTAGATTAAAGACATTACAGGCCAAATTAAATGTCCACTTTTGACAACTGACTTTTGATTACATTTCCTTTTCCCCCTTGCTTCATCTCAACCCATTGAAAATTTTACTTCTCAGTTTTTTTGTGGTGTTTTCTATTTACTTATTTATGTTATTATTACTACTCTCTTTTTTTTTAATTGTCTATATACTTTTTTATTCACATGTTTGTGTAGGGTAAGAAGGAAGGATGTGGGTTATTACTGATCTGTAACATAATCTTGTAGGATTGAGGAGGGCTGGGGAAGGGAGGGAATGAGTGGTTGTTGTTTTTGTAAAAAGGAAAAAAATCCTTACTTTTCATTGTTTGTACTTGACCTTGTCACGTGAATAAAAACATGAATAAAAATAAAAAATAAAAAGTTCCATCAACTTTCCTAAAGATATCACATAGCTCATAATGATTGATGGAAGAGATGGCTTGAATTTCCTTCTCATCTCTCTTTATCAAGCTTCTGCTCTGTATCCTCAGAACCTTCTTTTAAAATTAAGTTGTACTCGAGTTCAAATATTATTTCAGCTCTTGAAATGTCAATGAGCTACTTCAGTGTAAAAAAACAACAACTTTCTATTGTTACTATGGTTATGCATTATAACAAATGTGCAAAAATAAAAATACATTGACAAAAAAATGCACATCTAACACCAGAGATACATCAGAGAGAAAAAATGCAGCTTAATACATACAATAGCATTTTTTCTTGATTTTTTTTATTTCTTTGCCGTTGGTCTTTGCTGTTTAGAAAACAAATTATCTTTGGAGACCAAAAGTTTATATTATTCTTTACCCACAATCCTTTAACGGCCCACCTATTAATAATATTATTTAAACGGGTAGCAGTAGTACATTTATGCTAGGTTGTCTAACCTGAAATTAAAACCATATCAAATTCATATACATTTTTGACATAAGCAGCAGTTTTTAAACTTTTTAATGTTTTCCTTAGTATTACCACGACATTTTTATAGTTGCCATTCATGATTCCAGTAACTTATAACCAAGCAGAATATTATCATGTCACATGTGTTATGGACATCTTTACATTTTGGTGAGCTGAGTAAACATTTGGTCAGCCACCCTGACTGAAGTAACGGATAGGTTTCAGACTTTATGTCACTGACCCTCTGAGGTCAGTCCTACTGGCTCCTCCGGCGAGGCTGAACAGCTGCAGTTTGCTGCGACAGACATCCGACTCCACCTGCTGCGGATGGAGTTTCCATTCAGCTGTCACTGAGAAGAGGCAACTGCATCTAAGGAAAACATACAGCATGGCTGTCAAACATTTTTTTTTCATTCAGGTTTTTTACAGTTTTAAAAATTTAGTTTAAAATAAAAATAACCTACCAGTTTTTTTTTTTTTTTCACCTACCGGCTGGAGATACTTTCTGTGTTGGTTTTCATTGTCTCCCTGCAGATTTTATAAAAATCAAAGGCCTCTTCTGCTGAAGATACACACACCTCACATAAACCTTCCACAACACTGAAAGAAAAAAAGAGATACACATTTGGTTTATGTTTCAGACATATATATATACTGTATTTCTCGTTTTTTTTTAACTTATACCATTTTAAACCCTTTGGCTTTATATACTCTGTACATATGCATTTTTGGGGAGCACTTTTTGGTCCTCTCTTGTTAAAAAGATGCTGAGGCATGCTATGCTGTGGTACCCAACATCAGATTTAATGAACTTTAATGTCTTTGAGGAACCAGAAATTTAATGAATTAAAAGTGGGACAAAGGATGAATTTTGTTTTACCGTATATTGTTTGTGCCTCAGTAAATAGAGACTTCTGTAAAAGAAATTTAAAGTGACAACTTTAATCAGGGCAAACTTTTTGACATCCTGTGACAGCCTGCTGTCACACCCTGAAGCTGTGTGGTAACTTTTACATTTTTCATTTTCAAAATGAGTTGCACATTTCATATATTTTCATTAGCCTGACTTTAAGTTAGCTTTTTGCAGTGCACACATTTAGTTAACTTTATTTGTCAGGTTGTTTTTTTGTCAAGATGCAATTGATTAATTTCTTTTTTCTTTGAGTTGCCAGTTTCTTTGGGATCTGCTGGTGGAGAGCTGCAATGAGCTCCAGCTTTCCTCAACTGGTTGTTGCAGGCTAATCAGCGGGTCAAACCATTTGTAATGGGAAGGGAAATTTGTTTATCATTTGTTTAAATATTGTTAGTTTGGGTAATTTTGTTAATTAGTTAAATTTAAAAAATATTTAGTGTCTGGCCAGTATTAATCTGTTTAATTAAGTTTATTTGTTTATTACTTTGTTAGTCAGTCATCCCCCTTGTGTGTCAACAGTGGTCTGATCAGTCACTATTTAAGTTTCCTTCATGTCCTGATTGTGAGGTCAGTTTGTGCTTGAGTTCTTTATGCTAAATCCTGAATTGAATTCTGTTTAATTTTTTTTTTTCAGTGGTTTTCTAGCTGGTTTGTGCAATTTTCACACATCCTTTGAAGTGGTCGTGATTGATTTTTCTTCCTGCAAAGGTCTTTTAATGCCTCTTTATATCACTTGACCATGACTACATTGTGTAGCGTGTTAGAAAAAAATGCTGCAGCACAGAGAAAGATTTCCACAGTTTTCAATCAGCAACAAGTTTTCTATAGAATCTGAATTTACCTTGAATCTTTATAACGGGTAAACACATCCAGCATACTGACCCGAGAAATCCCAAAAATACAAATAGGTTCAGAAGTTCAAGCAGGTAAAATACAGAATAACCAAAAACTTATAATGCTTCAGTGGTTTGTTTTTAAATGAATCCAAAACCGGAAAAATGTGTTCCTGCTTGTGTTTAACCTGTTTGAAACTGTCTTCAACAAAATTGAGAGATTATTAAAGCATGTTACCTTCTCAAGTTTATGTTTAGATTGTAAAGTCTTGATTTCTTTAAACTGTTTTAACTGGAAAGAAAAAAAACTTCCGCCCTTTTTAATTTCTCAGCCAATAAATTTTGGGTGAAGGTCAATTTTAACACCTTACTTTGAGAAAAAGTAAGGTGTTAAAATTGATAAAGACAATGCAATTTTCACCACACAGCTTCATTTTTGATTTTACAAAATTTTAGAGCATTTTGTGCCATCCATCTGCTGATATCAGAGAGGTACTCCAGCACAAAGCACTCTCCGCTCTCCTGCAGGGGGGGGGACATAATAATCTAATGCAAAACTGTGAAAGAAAATGCCTTTTCTGAAGAAAAGCGTCATAGTTGCAGCAGGTTAAACAAACAAAAAATGCCTGAAAATGATGGGATCCTGCCTGTAGAGGTTAGCAGAAGTGGAGATAAAATCCTGAATGGAAACAAAAACCATTCTTTCCCAATGGTAAGATCTATTTTATGCAGGTCCAGCAGATTCCACAACAGTTTCTTCCCCACTGCCATTAGACTGCTGAATCTTGTGTAAAATGGGTTGTTGTATTATATTTTATCATATTCATTATATTTTATCATTATATAAAAAATGTTATATAAAAAAATAAACATCGAAAATGTTAGAACTGTAAATTTACAGTCATATGTTTATATTACTGTTTATATATATATATATATATTTTTTACTATTTTTCAAGGCTGCACTTTTTTAAAATAGATGAAACTGTCCAGAGAGCTGTTCTAAAGGAAATTTCTTTTAGTTTCACACTTGTATAAACAAAATGACAAATAAATCTGTCTAAGTCTATTGATCAATATTGCTATAAAAAAAATACCTAGAAAGTTAAGCTTCTGGGAAGCGAAATATGAAGATGTTTTTCATAAATCTAAAGTATAATGTATAACTATAGAATTGTAATATACCTTCCAAGAACTGGATGTGTTACAAGCTGTAAGGTCTCTTTGTTGAGGCTGAATAGATCCACTGCATTGCCATCTGGGTAAAACTGTCACAAAGAAACGCTATTTTAAATCATGAAAAGTCTAAGCAGAAGTGATGCTTTTAAACATCAGGACAGACCTGAAGAAATGATACAGAGATGAAAGACTCGGCTCTTTCTTGCATTCTTGTGCAACCAGACAGATTAGCCAAGACCTAAAACAAGGTCAGTGATTCAATTTTTACTGAAAGCAAAAACATTTATTCTGCTGAAGTATAGACTATAAACTATATAGCTCACCTGTCTAAGGATGCTTTTTTCCGTCAGGGCTTCAACCATCTCTGTGGGTGTCCCACACAGCAGCAGTGTTATGTTAAAGCCACTTGATAGGAACTCAGTCAGAGGCTGCAGGAGCTCAGAGTGAAAACTCTGCATGTTTAGGTTCACAATGTTAGTTTAGAATTTTTATTTAGTGGCAAACTAAGACGCTAATGAGGTATATGCGAGTTTAGAAATGTTATACCTCCATAGTATCTGCTGTTACGACCTGATCAAATGTGAAGCACTCTGGTTCCTAAACACACACAGACATTCGATTTGTGGTGCCCATAGAAAACACTTTAAAAACTACACTCTGATGCAGGAATGGATTTACCCTATTTAATGCAGATATGTATTTAACTTCACATCCTTCAACTGCGAGAGCTCCATGGTCTGCATGTTCTGTGTGCCCAAAAACACAGAAACATCCTTTAAATCAGCGCGCAAACAAAGTAATTCACAGATTTCTGTATTTTATTTACCTGGACTTGTAGGGAGTACAACTCCCACTCTCAGTGACTCAAATCCCTGACACATCTATCAACAGATGGAGGTCAGAAACAACTGTTGTAAGAAACTCAATAGAACTAGTCTTTACTCATCTAAACAATCTCCATTATGCAGATTTAAAATAAACCCTACTGCTATAGAACTGTATTAAGTATATACTTACATCTGTGTTTATGATCGCTGTGGCCATCCTCAACGTGTGGCTTTTTAGAGCCACTCTGACCTGATCTGGATTATATTACAGCTAGGTGAATTATTAATGCGTCAAAAGCTACTTTCTCTTGTTTGAATCATGATGTTGTTTCCTAGATGGATATTAAATAGGTAAGCCTCTTTAAGGGAAAAAATAATATCATTTAAACTATTTCATTGCATGGAAAGAGGGAAATTGTACAAATATGATTCATTGTTATAGAACTATTAATGTTTTGGATAAGGGAGGCTGTGGGAGCATTTCATCTTCAGAGGAGCTCAATACCAAAGATATAAATGATCAAAACACAAGAGGAAACATGAAATCCCAATAAAGATTGCTACAGTGCTTACGTTCGTTTTTAAATGACATAAATACAGAACTTAAATATAATGCGCATTTAAAATTGCCTTTTGAGAGAAGCCTTTTATTACCTATAAAACAAACCTATAAGCAGGTTTACCGTATTATTTTCCAACTTAAAGTAACCAAAAATCAAACATCTAAATTGAGAAATTTTTCTTCTATAACTGTAACAAAAACTTTAATTAAACATGGCAAAAACCTTTACTGGTTGAAAATTAATTTTGGTATTAAAATTACTAAAAAAAGTGGTGAACTTAAGTACTTAACTCAGGTCATATGCCATTTTTTTTTTTTTTTTTTTACACAGGTGTTTTTTATCTTCACACAAGGCTTTATGTTGTTTTTTTATGGTTTGTTTTGAGTTTTTATTAGTAACAACATACTTGCAAAATAATATATTAACCTTTTTAAATACTTTGCCTTAAAATTAAAACAACAAAATAAAAAAAACAACATTGAATTAGTTGTAAAACTAAAAGTAAGAATCAATAAAATAGTATTCAATAAAACTAGCAAATCCACTCTAAGAAAATGAAAAAAGTAACCTAATTTGAGAAAAAAAGTCACAATTAAAGAAAAATAAAGAGTTCTAAAGTATCATAACCTTGCTTCCTGGTTAATTAAAAATACTTTTAAACCAAAATGTGCTGGATTGATAAATTAATTAAACATCCTCAAAGCTAAAGCTGCTTTGCTGATGTGTTGCACAGACAAACCATATGCTCTGTCCTCAGACATGACGAGGATCTGCTAATCAGTGCAGCTCTTAGCAAGCTCTGGATCCCGTAAATCTTATTTGTTGTTTTAGTTAAAAATTCTTCTTTACCTACCTTGCATTTCTTTAGTATTTACTATTTTCCAAGGTTTTACTTTGTGGAAATTATATTGAACCGTTATAAGGACATACAGTCCCCAGGTATGCCTGAGTTCTCAGCTAATCTTTACATCTTTCCTGATATAATTTGGTGTTTAGATCTTCTTAATGTAATGAAAGTTTAGGATGTAACTTTACTTTACTTTCCTAGACTTTCAGTAAAGTCTATATTTCACTTTTTGTTTAAGTGAACAACAATGATTCAGTTACTCTATGGTTAAAGTTCTTAATGGGGCATCGTTGGAAGACTTAAAGTATCTAAAACTGCCTAGAGCCAAGTAAATAAATGCATTTGATTTCCAAACGAAATATAAATCCAGCAAATTCCATTGATTTGGCTCTGTGAGCTGAGTCCAAAGATTTAAGACATAAATTGGCATGTTTCTCTTAAGTATTGTTCAAAAGCCTGTGTTGGTGAGCACTTTACCGTGGTGATCCATTTACCTCACCGGTATGGCATCTCAAGATAAGATAAGATAAGAAAATGCCTTTATTGTCCCACAGTTGGAAAATTCAGGCGTGATGGTGGAAAGAAAAGTAGACAAAAGACCAAAAATGCTCAAAAATATAAAAATAACAAACCTTTAAAATTTGAGTGTTACAACAAAAGAGAGAGGAAGTACCTCCTATGAGGGAAAATACAGTTATTAACAGTAAAAAGGTATATTAAAATTCTGCTGTCAGAATGCCAATTGCACACTCCCTCCAAACTCGTGACATCTGTGGCGTTGTGCCGTGTGATAAGATCCCACATTTTTAATATGGCCTTTTATTGTCGCCAGTAAGGGACACCAAGGCAATAATCATACCATCTAGTTTGGATCTATACTTACCACACCTGAAAGGTGGATGGACTATCTCTACAAAGGATGGTACTCACTAACAGATTTAGATACATTGGTGGACAATTATTACATTTCTATGAACGTAAAGGCTTATTTTAGTGAAATAAGCCTTTTATATACATAAAAAAAGTCTGGTGTTTGGTAGAAACCCGTAAGTTTTGGGTTTATACTTCTCAGTGCATTCGGCAGCACAAATTTCTCAGCTTTTAAACTATACTTAACTAAAACATCTTAGAATCGCTAATTTAAACTGCCTTGTTACTGCAGAACAGACTCATTTTTTAGAAGGAACAAAGCTTATCGATTTTATAAATTGTTTTTCCTCATATGTATCTGTTAACTCTATGGCTCATCTCCGACATGCATGCTGTTAAAAAGTGAATTCCGGAAGTTGTTTTGTTTGCAGCACTGCCTGATGCATGGGTAAAAGGTCATAAGCGAGGACAGCAGAGTCGTTTAAAGGAGAATTATTTACTTGAAATCTATAAAAGTGATTTGATCTTCTTAAAAGCATTACGGTGAAAAGACAATTGTCACATGGATTTGTAGAATCATTAATCCCAAAAAAAGTTTTTGTGCTTCTATAAAAACCGTTCAATCAGAGTGAAGTATATGTTCATTCTTCTGTTTTTAGTCAGGATGAAAGCAGAGGAAGTTCCAGGCAACACAGGAAATTGGTTAATTTGCATATTCATAGAGGGACCAGATGAGGCGAAGCTTTTTAAGCAATTTAAATATTCACATTTAATGAAGATTTTTGTTGTATAAAATCCCTTGAACTTCAAGTGAGCCTTAAAACAGACAAAGAATCCAGGACTTAGTAAGCAATGCCATTGCATCTAATCACTTATGTTTATTCAGGCCTTGTTTCATTAATACTCATTACATCTGTTTGAGCTAAAGACATCGGGACAAATAATGTGATTGTTGTAAAGAAAAATCTTTATTTCCCATCTTACCACATACTTTAAGGAATATCAACAGTTCCTCATAAAGTCTCCATCCTTTAAATGGCAGGTTCACCAAAATTATGAGAACTAAAACCCTTTTGTCAGATCAAAAACCTCAATAAGACTAAAAATCAGGCAGGTGAAACTGGAAATATGCCTCAAACGTATTCATTTGTTTTGTAATTTGGGTGAACCGACCATTCGAGCCTCCGTCACAAACACATACATAATAAAATCTCACAGGGTTTGATGAATTTTATGTTCTGTAGATCAAAACACCCAAAAAAAAAGACATTAAAGGCATTAATGTAACAGACCCTATTACTGATTTGATTCCAAGCAGTTAGAAAAATGAAAAGCATGAAGTGATTACATGGAAGTGAAGCTCATTGTGAAGCTAAACTGCTACAAATTGGACAGCAAGTAATTTTAAATAACCAGTTTCACGGGTCTGCAAAGATAGTTAAAGAAAGGGACTATTTGCTTCTGGATTCTTCTAATTTGCCAATTCCTCTGTAAGACAAAAACAGAAACACGGTTTATTATAACCAAACATTCCGGCAAATGTCACGGTAAATGGATAAAGATATTTATCTTAGGAGCCCACCCTCAGTGTAGGTCTTCTGCATCATCCTTGGTGCAACCATCATGCGGCGAAATCCTGTGCCTAAATTGAATTTGATAAGAGCCGAGATAAATTAGTAATCTTTTACCATGAATACAAATAACTGTGAGCTTTTATTTGAGTCTGGTACCTCTGTTACAGTCTGGACGGCCGCGGACTGTTGTGCCCTGGATGGGGTTGCCGGCCTGGTCCACGCACCAGCAGAAGCCGGTGGCGTGCCAGCACTGCATGGGCTTGTAGCGGCCCTGCTCATCGCACTGGGGCTTGTATGCTCCAATCTTACCCACTCCAGGTGCTGCCTCTGTCTGGCATTTGGTCTGGATCAGAGAGGCTGTCCCAGCAATGAAAAATTAAAGATTGCGTTTACAATTGAGTCTTGGGGCAATTTGTGCTGGTTTTGAAATGATAGACAAACATAAATGTTACGTCTAATGAACTGAATGCAAGGTGCTGCATTTACCTGGCTGAGGGGTGGAGCCTTCAGGGTTCTGCTGGGACTTCTCGGTTTTGGAGTCTTCCTCTGTGAAGTCCATCTGCAGAGGGAGGCTGTTCATAGGCATGGCCATCCTTGCTGGGGCAGCAACTACGAATAAGCCGGAAAACAACAAATTCAAGTGAGAAAGAGCAACAAAACTAACAGCTTATAAAGAATTGAACTTGTTGGATTACATAAGACCTAACAAGGCAAAAAAGGAATCTGAAGAAATTAAAGAATTCCTATCAGACATTTTCGAGGCTTTGGTCCTGCAGCTTTCTACTAACTATTACCTGCAGGCGGAGAAAACATGGAACAAGCTTGGGCCTGCCTATGAGAGGCTAACCTACCAAACCTACTTTGAGAGGGTCACAAAAGAACCCAGAACATAAAAACATTGCAGATCTCATAGACCGCAGTTAACGTCACCCTAACAAAGTATGGTTTTGCAGCAACATGATCTAAATCACAACAGAAAGTCCACATCTGAATGGATAAAATGAGAAACATAGTCAAAGTCTGAACCTTTCAGTTTTGAAAACCTTTTTTTCTTTCCAAGTATTCCAGTTAGCTTTGTCTGATATCATGTGTTTGCTGAAAAGAGAAATTTAGGTTTGATCACTCAAAAAGATAAAACTAAACAAAAACAAAAAACTACAAAAGATTTCAGTTCCTATAAACAGTATTGTAGGTTTTCACCCATAGAAAATCCAATTTGGGAAGCATTTCAGAGGTCATTTGTTCCTAATAGAGTGTCTATATGCACATGGTGGCTAAGTAAAAGCTGCACAGAAAGTAATAAAGAATGTGATGATGTTAAAACATCCAGCTATGCATACAGAAATGATATAGAAATGTAACTTGGAAATTGGAGCATTAAGTTGAATAAAATGGTCATTATGCTGGAAGAGAAGGGCTTAGCTGCCAGATGACAAACCTTAATATGGCCACCGGATACAGAGCCTGTTTTTATTATCATCCTATTAACTAGAGGCATATTTTCTTTTGTTTGTATAGATGTAAAAAGTGATAATATAAACATTTGGCTTGGCATATTATAGAGTTGGTTTTTTGCCTTCCAGATTTATCAGTTTCATTTCTCTGTCTCACTGAAAAAAAAAATACATTTTAAAACAGTTTCCTTCTTTTTCTTATCAGCTATTCAACTTTTTTTTCTGTCTGATAGGATAAAGCCCATTACGGATGATAAAAACAGGGCAAATACATTCATTTTCCACCTTGGGATGTGCGAGTCATCAGCTTGCCCATCCGCTCAGAGGTCTTCTGCAGTGTGTGGATCTGCTGCTTCTGGTCAAATAGCATGTAGGCAGTGAAGACCTGGCTGGCCAGCAGCAGGCAGGCCAGGGTGGTCAGAGCAGCGACCTTTGCCGCACGGCTGTTGGAGCCTCTGCACAAAACAAGCAAAAAGTTTTACTTTGAATTAATCAAAACAGAGGAATGGGAAAATCACATAAGGAAATAAAGAAAAAAAGAAATGGAGTTTTTTTTAACCTCCCACATATCATTAAAGTGACTCAAAGGGATTTCCAAATGGGAGGTCTGATCTTTTAAGAGATGAGAAAACACTTTTACTAAAGGCCATTTTGAATTTTGGGCAACCCCAGATTAAAAATAAAAATAAAAAAAAAAAAAACATAACATGGGTTTGTCACACTTTTTTTTTTGTAATTTCTCATGAGAATTACCATTATAATTTTATATTTCTGATATTAATGTTTCATTTGTGTAACATTTTATCTTATTTGTAATTGTACACCAATACTGTTTACCGTTAGCAAAGGAGAATAAAAAAAATTGTCAACAATAAATAGAGAATACAAACCTTTATCAGCCATGACCTATAGCTCAAAAATATACAAATGTAAACATCTATTTAAAATGAAATAAACATCCAGACAGCTTTCATTTTCATAGTTTTTTGTTTTCTATGGTATACTGTAAATCTTTCCATTATGGGTTATTTTAATTATAAATTTCTTTAAGTCCTTACTCCATTGCACTGTATCATTTAAAGTAAGAATCTCTAATGAAGAACACTTCAAAATACTAATTTAAGAAAAAGACAAATAATAATAATATTACTACTATTGGAGCCAATACAGCAGTATTATTGTGTAAATATATTAAAACAAAGATCGAAAAAAAGAGATAAAAAGTCTAACCTTTATTTCCTTTTTTTCTGCTGTGGCCAATAGCATTTAACCATCACTAGTCGCTAGGCAGATTTCATTTGTCGGTTACAGTGCGGAAGTCAATGTAAAAATGTTCTGGACCTACGCCTTAACTGTGGGCGAAATTTAGAACAGAAATTTATTCTTACTCCTAATTTATGAGATAAACTGTCGTGTTTTATCTAATCATTAAGTATTTCTATGAATAAATATCGATATCACTGGAATCGTGACGAGCCAAGTGGCAGCGTCAGCGTCACTAGTTACTAGGTAGACCTCTAATCTCAAGAAGCTGTGAAGCACACCAAAGAAACATTTAGTGAGGCAAAGTTTTGCAACTAAATTATTTTACAATATATAATCTACATAATATATTGTATAATTTATACATTGTGCTTTTTAACATGGTCTACACGTAAACTGTGCTGATTTGTCTTTAGGAAGAAATTAAAAGCCTATATGTTCAGTGTTTAAAAATCTTTAAAAAAATATTTTTGACAACTTAGTTGAACTAAATCAAATGTATTCAGCTGCCTGCAGACAGACAGTCAAAAACTAAAAGTTAAAGTTAAACATGCACAGTTTAGATAGACATGAATAACACACATTCCAACCAAAAACAACAATGATGAGTTTTTAGAAAACATTTTATGGGTTTCAGTAAAAAATAATTCATTATCAGCTCATCTCACCCTCTTGGCCCTGCATTAACAAGGACTTCATGGCTCCCTGAAACACTTCCTCTGGCCAGGGGAGCATCTTCTTGATTGTCAGCCATCCTCTTTGGGCAAATGTCTCGGCTCCTTTAGAGAATCAATCTGAAGAAATGTCCAGCCAGCCGAAAGTATAAATTGCCTTGAAAATGAGGAAGGAGGGCAAAACAAGTTCTAGAGAAGGTAATAAAGTACTGATGTAAAAAAAAAAAACCCTGAGGGATGGATCTGTGGGGAGAGCTCTGATTGGTCGGATTCAACATCATCACTTGTTCATAGAGGCAGACAACAGAGAGAGGTAAGAAGTTTTGACTCAAAGCTAGAACTTTCTAATACTCTTCATTGCTTGCAGAGCTTTTAGTTTTTTTTCTTTATAACCAAATATCTTTACAGAATAATTTATAATCATCCCTGTCTTTGATAGTACACGAGTCCTTAGGAGGAAGCCTTCTATGTTGTACTCATTATTTTGTCATACATTTATAAAAGTGAAAAAAAAAAAAGAAAGCAGTAAAAGTAAAAATCTATTAAAATAACTGTGTCTCCTTATTTTTCTTTAGTGTCTGAACCAAAGTACATAAAGGGAACCAAACACTTCATACTTTACCCCCACCTCAGTCAAAGTATTGATGGCTGCCACTAATTATATAATGAGCATTTGATTCTTGGGCTTTTTTTTTTTTTTCTTTCCATCTTAAATAAAAAAAAAGCAGCATTAATATTTTGCACAGAAGCTAGTAAGGAATCAAAATAAATGCAAAATGAAATAATACTATGAACCTGTATTCATAAAACTTGAGCTCATGTGAGTAAATTCCCCGTAATCACATTTAAACTTGATGAATTCTGAAGAAAATCCTAAACAAAAATTATAGTCAGACTGACTCCATTTATTTTACTTTGTTTTCATCCAGACACCTGAGCTTGCTTTCATGAGCTGCCATAGCTCAGTGGTAACAGCTGATACCAGGATGTTCTCTACATCCTGTTCCTCTGCTTGGTTTGAATCTGTATCACAGGTGTAGGTGAACTCAAAACTCTGGTTTTTATTTTTTTGTTGATCCCTCACAAAGTAGAACAGATCCCTGACCTATTTAATTTTACTAGCTAAGAAATCGAATATTTTAATGTACCCCTTGCAGTGCACTCGCGGTCCACTAAGAGTATGCGTACCCCCAGTTGGGTATCACTGATTTAGATGAAATGCCTTAAGTTGTTTTTGTTTTGTTTTGTTTTGACCTTTTCATCATATCTCCAGTACCTTATAAATTTCTATGAAAATAGAACCTCCACTTTCCATTAGAAATAGTAGAATACAACAAGGATTTATTGCTGCTGCATACAACTCCCGATTTAAACACTCCATGCTAACCAAAAGTTGTTAAGACTTACCATACCAGGAAAACAATTTTCTTCAAGAGCATCTCCTCACCACATTAATCCTGCAGGGTTTTAGATAAGCTGAGCCTTCTCTGCTGTCTGAACACATAACATTCAACTTAGTACAAAGATCCATTTCAATCTTTAATTGGATTTTGAACCTGTTAGAAAGAACAAAACACCAAAGCTAGAATAGTCAGAAAAACACGACTAGAGCTTTAGCACCAATAAGGTAATTCCACTATGATTGGAAATCATCACATAAAGCAGATTCATAATTTACAAACATTTTGAAACATTAGATATTATGGATGGAAGGATGTTATTTATTTGTGCTTTCTATGTTTTCTCTTAAATTTTTAAGTAAATAATTGAAATTTGAAATCGAAAAAAAGAAAAAATGTGAAAATCCTATGCAGTCTGACTTCCTGTAAGGAAAGTTGAATATTTCTCCCAAATCCTAATAACAAAATCCAATATGGCTGCCCCTAAAACATACTGATAAGTGCAAAATAAACTATTTAACCTCCGATTGATGTTATCTGACAAAATGCTTTTGTCAGTAAATGTGTTCCTTTGTGTTTTAGCAAAGCACAAACCAATAAACTGCTCTTTGTTTGTTTTTTCAGCAGCAGCAAGCTTGTCATTGAATTAGCACAGGGAGTATCACATCTGATTGCTCTTTCATCATGTAGCTGGAAGGTGGCTAAAATGACTGTGATGGATCTCTAAATTGTTTCAAGCTACTTGCTATGTCAGGGAAATGTAAGAGTATCACCCAAATGATAATACAACAATAAAAAGAAGTATAGATTATGAGAGAAATATTATGTTTTTTTGTTTTTTTTACAATTTTTACAGTTCTCAGTAATGAGCCCTCCCCTCTGTATAACTGTTGAACATCTTTTTTCACATATTCACATGGCTGTTTTAAGGTCTTTAAGGTTAGAAGGCCTCCTTACCATCACCCTAATCTGTAGCTCCCTCAACAGATCTTCTATTGGATTCACGTTGGGTTAGGGTTCATCCAAAACCTCCATTTTACTTCAATTCAGAAGACACATGATGGTAAAGTAAAAATGAATTTCAGTGTAAATTAACCAGGACTATTAATAATTCTGGGATCATAAATAGTAAATTATTAATCATAGTCATTATAAATATCTCATTTAATGTTAAAATGTTTTTCTGTTTGAATTAGAGACAAATGTTCTCGCTTGAGCAGTTTGATTTTTTGAAATGAATATTGTTGTCACAAAAATCTCCATTTTCCTCTAAAAGAGAATCCGTTTAACTAACAAAGGTTGTTGTACCTGTATGACAAACCTGGTCAAGATGAGGCTTTTCTAAGATTCTTTGTCAAGTTTAAGCTGCTTTTTTTTTCGTCAAGCTTTGTTCAGCTATCGCTCACCTGCCATAAAAGATCATCCTCCTTTCTTCTTTTGCATTTCTATACACAATAATATGGAATCATCAGGGACTGCATAAGAAATGAACAGCAAAATCCAAAGGAAATTGCAAAAGACCTTCAGAAAACCATTAGACCAGTGATGAAAACCTCTTTACAAGGTTACATGAAAGTCTCTTGGCGAAAAAAAAAAAAAGCTCTTTTAAGGTAAAGATTAAAGCAATCAGCAGTGGTTGTATTTTAGTTTTGCTCTTTGCTGCAGATCAGTTGTGGCGATTCATTTGAAAATCTCCCTCAAAAAGTGTCTGAATTTCCAGAGAATTCCTGGTGAACTAACATGTAATCAGATAGCTTCTCTACTTTTAGGGGATTTCCTTACAGAAAGGAAATTATGCTCGATATTTAAACTTACTGAACGTTAAACTGAAGTTAAAGTAATACTGTAGTGACAGGGTGTAAATAACAAATTTCACTTTCTCGTATCAGATCACAACCTGTGTTGTGTCGTGTTGACCTATGATTTTGAGGAAATGAGTCGGGTCTACTTCTTAGAGTGTTCTGAGCAGGAAGTGAAAACAGATGAGCTAAATTTCCTTTAAACCAGCTTAGGGATTCAAGAATTCTCTGCCCCTAAATGCATCATTGCTCTGCCTGCTTTATGTTTAATGAGTAAGGAAAGTGTATCTGTCACAGCTGTTATTAAATCTGTTTCCCAAAACAGAATCATGAATATGAGCCAAAGTAAATTCAAAGTTTAACCAGAGGGACTCTCATCAAACTAAAAAAAAAAAAGCTTATAAATCTGTTTGATGCGATTTCTTCCTGAGGGAACGTTAGATGTTGTACATGTATTTCAAAAATGATTTATAATACTTCTTATGTATAAAACCATTTGATCTCATCCTCTGATGTGTCTCCATTTTTTTGCATTTAGTTTGTCGTCTCTTCTTTGGCATTTATTTCTGCTAAATATGGCATTGATTGAAATTGAGTCATTGATGTGGATGCTGCAGAAAACCTGAGATGTTTTAGCAGTGACCCAGAAACATTCAGAGGCCCTGCTGTCACACACACTCAACCCTTCATACAGATAATGTGCTATAAACCAAAGCGACACATTGACTGAATCTTATCCTGAGGCGTCGCAAACAAGTTGCACTTTGCATTAAGCCATTTGCATCTTTTTAAGAGTTGCGTATTCATGGCGATTCCTGGAATTTCTAAATTTATCCGGATGTTATGATCATGCATTTTACTTTGGCTCCAAGGCATCTGAAGGGAAATGCCCAATAAAATGTTGAATTACTAATTAATTTAATTCATAAAAAAAAAATAAAAGTCTGCACTCTGATTGTGAAACCCGTTTGAAATCCTACTGAATTCATACTGTTTACATTTTACCAATTTATACCAACAACCATTTCAGTTCTTGCTATTTACTTTGCAGAATATGGCTTATACCTAATGAAAGCTGAAAATGTATTATCTTAGAATGTTACACAAGAACAATAAAACATTATTAGTGCAGAAATATTACATTATTTGCAAGGCTGTAATGGAAGGAGACCTCAGACCTAAAAGCTTTACAGCAGAAATAAAGGTCATCAACAAGAAGGGCAGGTTCCAAGGCTGCTTCCGAATAGCGCAAATTGGTAAGGACACTTAAACCAAAGCAGGAATGTGTCGATAGTCAGCTGGATAAGTGCTGTCTGAATAGTGCCCGCAATAAGGAAGGAGGTAGGAAAAGCAGTATGCTTTATATTGTAGTTCAGTTAGCAAAGGGACCTACAGACGTTCCTATCCACCACTGGGAGCCACATTTCGCCGACTATCCTTTGTGAGACATGATTTATAGGCACAGCCCACCTCACAGCATTTATCAAACATAAATCATGTCTTTACGTGTATTCTGTGTGACAAATGCTAATGTAAATGGAAGTAGAAACAAATAAGCCTAATTTTAAAATTGTGTTTTTATCATCTCCATCTGTTATCTAAGGTAAAACCATTTTTATCTTTTAACCTCTTTGAGCAGGTTTTACACTCTTTTATCTCTTGCCATCTGGAATACTGGATTGCACTTTATTCAGGCATTAGCCAACAAGCTCTCTCCCATCTACAGTTAGTCCAAAAAGCAGCGGCTCTTTTTTTCTAACTTGAACCAGACATAAACACATCACATCAATTGTTGCATCTCTGCACTGGCTCCATGTTGGTTTGAGAATTGATTATATATGATTTTGTTAATTTTATTCTTATTTTGTTTGCATTAAGAGCTTTGAATGGGTTGGCTGTTCAATACATTACCGACTAACTCCAGATTTACTCTCCCGGACGTGCGCTGAGGTCTGAGGGCCATTTTCAGCATACAGTGCCCAAGAAGAGGGTCAAAACCAGAGGGGACAGCCTTTTCTGCAGTTTGCCACAGACTTTGAAATACTTTGCCCCTCATATACAAACAGCCTCCACAGTGGAGGGTTTTAAGTCTCGTCTTAAGACCCACTTTGAATCTTTGGCTTTTAACACTACATAAATGAGTGGTCCTCTGTGTCCTTTTTACTTATTTTAAACTCTTACTGCTTTTTTTGTGTGTGTTTTTTTTGTTTGTTTTTAAGTACAGCATATTGGAAACATTTGCTGTAGTTAAATGTGCTATATAAATAAAGTGGATTGGTGTTACATCCCCAAGATGGATGTTGTTTTTGTTCTTGCATCCAATTAACAGCTTGCTCTGTTTTAGGCTTTGCCTTTAAGACTGGCTGCTGCTTCCTGAGTCTGTCCAATCAAGATCACCTATTTAAGGCATGTGAAGAAGTACTTCAGGGCCTTTGAGCCATTTGTCTGCCATACACCTTAGTGTTAATTGTAAAATCTAATGGGCAGTTAAGATTGTGACCATGTAAACCTGCTTGGATGGTTTTTGTAGGGGAGAGCTTCCTTTTTGTTTAACCCCACTTTTCTCCAGTTTATGTGTTGGTTAGGTAGCTTATTTCATAGGTTTGTATATTTTGGTTTCATGTTGAGTTAAGTAAGTCCACTTTTCTTTTTTCTTTAGGGTTGTTTTGTTTGTTATTTTGTCCTGGGCTCTCCCTGAAGCCTTTACCATAACTTATTCAAAAGAAACGGCAGAATAAAACTTTTAAAATGCCATTTTGACTCCTTTATTCCCTGTCTAAATTTATGTTGGTCCCTTATACCCCCTAGACTCAGCTAGAGACATAACAATTGGATTGATTGGAAGTGTTTTGGAGGGACAGCAACTCTGCCACAAAGTGATACCACACGTAAACTGACCGAGCGGGGTCAGCGAATGCTGAGGCACGTAGTGCAAAGATGTCACCAACTTTCTGCAGTCAATCCCTACACACCTCCAAATGTCATGTGGCCTTCAAATTAGTGCAAGAACAGTGAGCTTCATGGAAGGGGTCTTCATGGTAGAGCAGCTGCATCCCACACATGCATCACCAAGTGCAATGCAAAGTGTCATTGTTGTAAATTACATCACCGCTGGGCTCCAGAGCAGTGAAGACGCATTCTCTGGAGTGATGAATTTCCACCTGGAAATCTGATTGATGTGTTTGGGTTTATCTGTTGCCAGTAGTACAGTACTAGTCTGACTGCATTGCGCCAAGTGTAACGTTTTGTGGAGGGGGGATTATGGTGTGGAGTTGTTTTTCAGGAGCTGGGCTTGGCCCCTTAGTTCCAGTGAAAGGAACTCTGAATGCTCCAGCATGCCAAGACATTCCATAACTACATCGATGGCAGAGTCTGGTGTGGATGAACTTGACTTGCCTGCATACAGTCCTGACCTGAACCCTACAGAACAGCTTTGGGTTAAACATAGACTGAGAGCCAGGTCTTCTTGTCCAACATCAGTCTGTGACCTCACAAATGCGCTTCTGGAAGAGCGTGCAAAAATTCCCGTTAACACTCCTTAACCTCGTAGCGAGCCTTCTCAGAAAAGATAAAGCTGTTCTATCTGCAAAGGGTGGACCTACATTATATTGAACCCCGATCGGTTAGGAATGGAACGTTACTTAAGCTCATATGTACAGTATGTCAAGGCAGGTGAGTGAATAAAGGCTGCAGGCAGTCTGGATTCAGTACAGCAGTCCGTACCTTTTTTCCTACTCTGATAGTTTTTACTGTTAACCCTGCAAAAGGCGAAGGAATAGGAGCTAGAAACAGAAGCAATAGAAAAAAAAAGAGATATGATAAAATTCTAAAGTATCGAACAACTGCAAACCTACCCAGACCAATATATTTGCACTGCCGACTGTTTATTCACAGCACCAATTGTTTACATTTACATCTGCAATAACATACTTTAACTGTAATATGCAATTACCTTCCACTGCACTTTAATTTAGATAGCTTCTGGCCAAACTCTATTCAATTTATAGTAAAACCCATCTGTATATTATGCTAATGTACATAACTGTAAAAACCTTTTTTTAATAGTAATATCCATCTGTATATTATATTCGGTACATATCCAGCTGTAAATTTAGTTCATAACACTAGTGATCTATATATTATATTCATTATTTATAATAGTATTCATCTCTATACTCATTCAGTAGAAATACCCACGTCCTGTATTTATGGAACCATTATTTATCCTGCATTTGCCGCTATTGCAGTTCTGGTTAGACCTAAACTGCATTTCGTTGCCTTGTACCTGTACATGTGTAATGACAGTAAAGTTAATTCTAATCTAATCTAATCTAATATCGTCATTCGATTAGAACTGAAATGCTTGGTATGGAGAGTTGGTAACTCTGGAGGAGCTGCAGAGATCTGTTGCTCAGCTGGGAGTAACTGTTGACAAGACAACTATTAGCACACTTCATGAAACAGTGGCAATGATTGTTGATAAGTTAATTTTCTGTACTTTGCCTTAAGATCTTAATGAATGCAGCTAACAAGTAGAAAAACGTGATCTATAAGCGGAGGAACAGTAACTGCATATCACCCTGGGCATGCCTCCGCCAGCTGTGGGGAGATTTTGCTTTAGCAGGCAATGAGAAGCTGGTCAGATCTGCCCTTTGGGAAGATATGCAGATGTAAATACTGTGGAGTTTGCAAGATCTGTCCTATTTACCTGCTGTCAGTGTGAGAGAGTCATGGTGAAATCAAATAATAAAATGCTGGGTGTGAAGCAAATTTATCTTAATAAGAGTCTAAAAAATAAAAATCTAAATCAGAATCTGATTTGAAAAGTGCAATTCATAGAAACTCTCCAAGCTAATCTGATGGAGAGATGCAAAGATTATATATATATATACATTTCCTGCTCGAAATGTGCAGAGCTGTTAGAAACATTCCATTTTGCTCACGACTGTAATTACAGCTCATTTCAATTTCTACAAAAAGTTTTTTTACACAATTTCTTCCCACCTCAGAGTTAACACTCTAATAAAAGCTTGATTTTCAAAATAATTCTAATGATCCCTGCACCAAAAAATGAGGCAACAAAGCTCCAACTAATGAAAAATACAGTGGTGTTTTATTTGCAAATTAAAAAGCACCGACAATATTAGTTACACTGTAAAAATTATTGACAACAATTACAAATCTGTATCATACAGTCCAGGATATTAGTACCATCGTTGCTGTTATGTGTTTAATACTTTATATATGGAGAAAATTCTGCACTTTTGTAATAACAGTTGGCAGTGAGAGGACGTGAGAGGAAACACTTCTGCATGATGAAAGGATTCGAACCTCCCCTCAGCGCACCACTGACGTCTTTTAACGCTACGACAACAGGCTGACGGGAGGGTGAAACCCAAAAACATTCAATAATTTAGGTCTACTGAGGGCTTTATGTACATTACAAAGTCAGGAAATGACAAACCGTTGTGTGCGTCGTAATTACATCTGAACAACGTACAAAACTATTGCAGTAAAAGCAGCTTTTTTTGTTACCCATGAACACCTAGTTGCAATGGTAACACCTTGACCTACACCCAAACGTCCGTATGGAAACACCCAGAGTTCTGTTGGTCTGTTTTTATTTTTTCCTCCCAGATCTACACTCCTATTGTAAGTGAAATTAAAAACTAAATAAAAACAAAAAAAAGCTAACATTTTGAAATGCACTTTTTTTTTCTTCTGTACACAATCTGTAGGACCATGCATACAGTAGTTAGCTTATGATCTTCTTCACAGATTGCAGTAGGAACCATCAAGTTAGTGTGCTTTCCAGTTAACCTGTTCGATCAGGGTGGACGCTCCTCCCAGAGTGCCTTTGTGCTTTCCGTCCTGCTGATCCCGCCTCGGACATCTCGGTGGTCGTGAAGCAGACCCCGAAGCAGGCTGGGCCCATAATGTTGCTGCACGTCCTGCTCGTGTGGAAACGACTCCTCAAACAGGTTTAGTTTTGGTACATTCTAACAAATGTGCATTTCCGTCAGCACTAAAGAAATGTTAAAATCAGACGAAAAAATAAAAATAAGAGGAGCGGATCCAAACAAAGAAAATAAAAACCCTAAAAAAAATCCAAGAGGTTGATAGTTTGACGATAGTTTCTGTCCTGGCACTTGTAAATGCAATAACTAGATTCTACCAAGGCCTTTCGAGGAAAGCTACAAGATGCAGCCTGAGTCAGGACTCCTCGCGTCCTCACCTACCGCTCATTCACTCCTATCAAAAGTAACTTGAATCAACAAGTCCATCATGCTGCCATTCATTGATTCGACACTGTGCTGCTCCATGTACTGCTGTCCAAACATCATGTCTCATCACTCAGGACAAGTGATAGTGTTTACGTCTGTCACCTGTTTGCAGAACTCGGAGAAAAAAAATGGCCCAAAGTTCTTTTTTGTTTGTTTAGGTTTTTTTTTCCAGTCTCGGGCAAACAAAGTTTATGCGGTGATAGTTTGATTAATGAGACTGGGATGATCAAACACTGGAGGACCCTGCTGTGCGTCACCGAGTCGTACTGAAATCCTCAGGATCTAGTTTTAGGGCAGTCCTGAATCCAGTCTGCTCTTAACTAAGAGAATCTTCGACTTCATGTTCAGAACGCCGTTTTCTTATCTCAATGCCCGGCTACGGTCTTCCCGGTCTCTCTCAGACCTGTGAGCTCTGTGGGGTGGAGCAGAGTTTCAGGAGCGTGGAGCTGTGGTTTCATCCTGCAGCGGTGCTGCTACCTGGTGTGGACCAGTTCTTCTCTGAGCCAGCTGGGTAGCGGCTGACCCATCCTGTAGAGCAGCTTAGATAGCTCAATGTTGTGGTCCCGGTAATAGTCCCTGAGGAACTCCTGAGACTGGAAGATACAGGAAGAAAATAGATGTAAGCAACTCACAGAAAGCAGACCTGTATTATTAAAGTTCTTATTAGGAGCGGATCCTACCTCAGGGTCCATGTCAGGGTATCTGCGTCCTTTACTCTTTCCTAGACACTTGGTCTTTCCTCCCTCCAGCAGCTGACACCAGAAGCCTTTCTTGGGATCAAACCTGAACATAATGGATACAAGAAGCCAATGAATGTCAGAATCGGACAAAATAAGAAGATAATGAATCCTATGTGCTTAAAAAATAAAATGTTTTCTTTGTATTGTCGGTTGGGGTGGACATTTATCAAATCCTTTATTTTGTTTAGTTTCTAGTCAAGATAACAAATTTAAATCAAATAATAAATTAGAATTAATGGTAGAAAACTCTTAAGAACAGGATTAATTGCAAGAATTTTTTTAATTATTTTTCCATTGGGAAATTGACAAATTTGAAGAATAAGATTAAAATGCGATTCCTATGAGATTTTTAGTGATATAAATCCTACTTCCTTTTTTTTAAATTTTTTTTTAACTAGTGTCCTGAAGAAGCCAAATTTAAATATGTTTATTCTTCTGGAGTATTATTTGTGACTGTGAGACCATGATCACTGAGGTACTGTGAAAAAGTCATGTTTTTTATTTATTTAAGTCACTTTTATCATTATCATGATAATATCACCAGATATCATGATAAAATTTAAAGCTACAGTGTGTAATTTTTAGCGACATCTAACGTCCAGACTGCAGACCGCAGCAACATGAACATCTCCCCCCCACCGCTTCTCCCCCCCAACAGTACGGCGAGCGTTACGGGACAAAATGTCTTCCACGACGTCCGCATCACCTACCTTCTCAAGTGATGAGGTTTGTTTACATAGATAATTTTACAGATAGTATTCTCAGGCATAATACTGCCATCTATTGTTCAGCACCGTCTCAGTTCATCTCTCTCAACTTGCCGTAGTTACTTTCGAGCGTAATGGGCGATGTCGCAATCGCTAGTTTGTTGGCTCTGCGCTGCCGTAGCGCAAAGATGTCAGCCTCCATGGCTGCGAGACCCGCTCCTATGTAATTATAAATAACGAATTCTAAGGCAACGCAAATATTAAGGTTAAGAGGCTGAGCTCGTAGATGATGATAAATAACATAGTTATGTATAATATATTACATTTCTGACTGTATATCCCTGTAATTATTACACACTGTAGCTTTAAAGTGTGCATTTCCCAGCCCGAACTCTCATTGTATATATTCATCAATATTTATTTATTCCACAATGTTCACCTTTTAGTGTTGGTTTTAATCAGTTATCAGCATTTTTTTAATGTTTCAAACAAATCAAATTCTATTATCCCAAAGTATTGTGGGTACAAAACCAGCCTCACACCCGTTAAGCAAATAACAAGCTGATTGCATGAAACATATATTAGATATCTGTCACTATTTTGTTGTGTTACTGGATTCTAACCTTGTTAAATAAAAGATAAATAAAACATCAGTACAACTATAGAAAAGGCTGCAAAGCAAAGTCAACTCTTGATGCACATAACTTGCTTTTTATGTCTTGCAAACATTGAAATAAACATTTCACAGGAAATTATATAAATTAAGACAAAGCAGCTTTTATTTATGTCCAACAGTTTTTCAGAAAAAAAGCTGAAGACCCAAATTGCTCCTTTCACATAATCGGAGCATCTGTGGGACTAGAATAAACAGAAGGTTTATTTAATGATTTGGGTAAAACCTAGGCAACAGGATGTTAAAACTAATAAAGGAAACTGATGGCTGAAAAAAACGTACCAAAAGTAGCTGATTGGGTTTTAAAACTGGCATTTGAAAAGCAAAGTGTCTGAATAGAGGGAGCAACTCACGCTAAGATCTTGTGGTAATTGATGACGTTGGGGAGGCCAAGAAACTTCTGGATTTTATCCATGACCGAGGCAGGCTCTGTCTTCAGCATCTGTCCGTCCAAAACCAACAGCTGCAAGGAGGCAGGAAGCCAAACATTAGAAGACTACAGCTGTGCACACAACAGTATAATATAGAAAAAGAAATTGTGTCAACAAGGCCGTTCCTTTTTTGTTTTTCATAGTGCTCTGTAATTAAAAGCAGAATGTTTCCCTCAAACAGCATTCTTTAAATGGGTGGACAACAATTAACGAGAGACCAGCAAGTATTGAATCCAGGACAGATATTAGTTCTTGGACTAAATGATGCAACTGTAACAGTCTATAAATGTTTTTTTTTTTTGCTCATACACCAGGTCATTAGGCAGCCAAACTGCAGTCCTAAGGTCTTCACATCTATCTTTGTTGAACTGTGGAAACTGCTGACAGAAATCCCCTGAAATTCTTGCAAGCCATGGTAAATGAATCAATAAAAGACATTTGGGAGTAAAATAACAAGTAGTCAATATCTCCAACCCTAACATTATTGATCGTTTTTGGGGTATAGTGCTCAAAATATAAATCATTGATTCACAGACCTATTCCACGAAGCGTCTTCTGGACGTTTTGACAACGGGGCGTCCAGGATTGGAGCATTTTAGTGCCAATTTCTTGAAAACAAATGTCAAGACAATTTTTACCCCCAATTTTCTGCTGTTTTTCTCTCCTTTTAGATCATGCTCTCTAAGCGCATGGTTACTTTTTTTTGTGTGTGGTGTAAAAATCAAAGTCAAAACTTCTTTAACCACCTGCAGCTTTTTAAATGAACACTAAACATTCAGCCCATTCAGATATAAAGGGTTTAGCTTTAAAAGCTAAATGCAGACTGCACCAAACAAGAACCCGTCTTAGCGACTGGGGCTATGTTTTATTTACCAAGAATCCTGCTGAGTAATACTGAACCCACCACTTATCCCTGCTTGTTTCTCTTCAGCCTACAAAGCTAAGTCAGACCTGAACACTGAAGAGTTTTTTTTTTTTTTTTTAAAGGTCAGCTGGATCTAAAATAAAGTCTTGCTGGGAATATCAATACTCCCACTATTTAATTAACACCGTAACCAAGGAAACACATCATCACTGATTACACAGCAATCACCATCATTGTGCACGAAGAAAAAATCCCTACCTGGCTGGAGTGGTAGTGATTCAGCCAGCGCTCCAGGTGGACGGCGTACCATCCCGGCACCAGGCAGCGGTTCTGTAGCACCCGCAGTTTGATTGGAGCATCACGGGCTGCGGTGATGACATCATGGAAGGAGTACTTCAGGGCCACTGGGTCATCATGGGCTCTTTGGTGCTGTGTGAGAACGACACAGGTTCCAGTGTTAAGCTAGTGTGATTATTTTCATTTCATTCAAATGCAGTAATTAGCTGAAAGTGTGCGATCTGTGACAAACCTGGTACCAGGAGTAAGCTCTGTCCGCTGGGTTAATGAGGATGGTGATGATCTTAGCTTTGGGCAGGAGAGCTGCAGCCCTCTGAGCAGCCACTTCAGAGTCAAAGTAGTTGGCACTCTTCTCAAAGTAGTAATCTGAACTGGTGTTGGAGGGCAGAGGAAAATACTCCATATACCTAAAAAACAACAACAGAGTTCAATCAGACATAAACTCTGATCTAGGAAAAAACCCAACATAATAAAAATCACCAATAAGAACAACCAACATAATGCAGAACTATTCTCCATCATTTTACCAAATAAATGTCTTGGAAAAAAATAAAATAAAAAACAACCAGAAGGAGAAATAAAGCATCACAGCTTTGCAGACGTCATATAGTTAGCATTTTTGATCCAACACCAAAAGTGAATCTTAACAAGTTTAAGCATTAAATCAAAGTGTATTTCTGTTTCAAAAAATGTCATAATATTGCAATCAGTAAAAAATACAGAAATATTCTGTCACAGTCGACATGGTTAATGGGAGGACAGCTGAACTGATGGTCCATCCTTCACATGGTGGACAAACAGCAAGAAGCTATAGCTAAAGAAGCGGACTGTATCCAGGCAGAACTGGGTAACAACTGTCACAGACACAGTCCTTTGGTTACAACACTCGTGAACAGACATGTCAGAAGCATCTTATCTCGGCAAAAGAAACAGGACCGAACTGCAGCTCTGTGGTCAAACCTCCTTTATCCTCTAACTAGAAATCATGGTCCCACAATCTGTGACGTTTCCAGAGCGGTTTAAAGGCTGCCGACCAGAAAACGTCACACCTCGACATGTAAAAAAAAATTATTCTGATTTCTGTAAATTCCTTACCAAGTACACATGCCAGACCCAGAACCTCACAAACAATCAAGGAGATTTTTTAAGGAGGAAGATGAGGAACCCAAGATCAAAGCAACATCTTAAGATGGTTGCTGGTAACTCTAGTTACTGCCACAGCAGTAATACGGATACAGCCACAACTTTTAGGTGAGCCCAAACTTCTACTTGATCAATAAATCTGCAAAAACTCTGCAGCACATGTCTGTTTAACAGATGAAGCAGAGAAACCCAATACCTTTAAGGACTGCGTCCGTCCAGCTAAACTTTAACCAATGCTGTGTTAGCATCAACAGTAAATGGCCTGTACTTATACAGACAATCTAAATATTGAAATCCAATTCCAGAAAATAGAACTTTTTTCCAAGCCAGGAGACTTAACAAAAGCTCTTTGCACTGTACTCAATCATTCCCCCCGCACCGCACACACCTGATGATCCCAAATTTCCACACTGTGGGACATTGAAGGATTTTGTTATGCTGCACAAATCCATTAAATCAAATAAGAACAAATCCATGAAATCAAATAAGAACAAATCCATGAAATCAAATAAGAACAAATCCATGAAATCAAATAAGAACAAATCCATGAAATCAAATAAGACATATCATGGCCTCCTCTCTTTTTGATGGTGGCAAGCTACATTGTAGCCACAGCTGCCATGGGACTCACAGACAGTAGAAGGGCTACCATACACTGGTGCCACTGGGCCCTCTGACCACAATCAGTAGATGGTGGTCAGCAGCTGGAGGTGAAGTTGCCCAAGTTGCACAAGGACACAATGAGACTGAAAGTCAGAGCCGGGTTTTGAACCGTCAACCCTTCAATTTCAGCGCAAACTCCTACAACAGACGCCACTGTCGCCCCTATTATCTACCAGTAGACTGAGTGGAGGCAACAGCTGGAGGACGTATACATGTCTTACCAATCAATGCCTCGGTGATAGTTGTGTCCATTGAAGAACTGGATCTCCTCAAACGTCTCCTTGCTTGGATAGTTGCTTGTCAAGTCGGGATGCATGCCAAGGAACAGGTAGAGAGCTGTCGTTCCTGAGGGGAGAAAAAAGAATTTAGGGCAAGGCCAGAATGAATATACATATACTACCTGGCTACATGTATAATAAATGCATTATTTATAGGAGAATAAGAAAAAAAAGTGCTATAATCTAGGGCAGGAAGTGTGGTTGGAGGTGAATAATAAACTCTTGTCCTCATTGTTAAATTAGCCTGTAGGGGGTGCTGTAGAGCTGTGCCTCACCTGTCTTCTGAGGCCCAATGACAAGCAGCTTTGGGAAGCGGTCACATGTTTTCTCTTTGGACCAGATGTCCTTGTGTCTTTTATCCTCACAAGGATCCTTAAGTTGCACAGAAACACAGACACAGCCTTCTGTTGTTATCGGGATTAATTAAGTCTCCCCTTAATGTGTAGAAATCAAAGGGAAAGGCAGAAATGTTAAATGATAATGAAACCAATCTTCAGCCACAGGAAGATGAGCAGGCTTACTTTTTCTTTATACCGAATTCTTTACCTTATTTTTTAAAGATAAACATCTATAATCAATTACTTGTGTATATTTATACAGAGAAGGGGTTTAAACTTTTTTTTTTTCATTTCTGTATTTAACCAGGTAAACCCTGTTGAGATCTGGATCTCATTTTAAAGGGGCACCTGGGCAGAGATCTGCAATACACTGCAACCTGGTTACAAAAATAAAACCAATTGATACATATGCATAAATATAAAACAATAAAAAAAATTGTAAAAGCAGAGACACACTTTTTGATAGAAGCTTTGTTGTCAATCTTTAAGAACCGCTCGAAATAAGTCCAATGAAATATTGTCTGACATCTTGAGCTCAGACTGGAGCTGATTCCACGCTGTAGGAGCCAACAAACTGAATGCTTTCTTTCCTTTATCAGTTCGAACACGAGGAACATGTAGAAGAATAAAGTCATTATAAACACAGAATATTATGGATGTATGAAAGATGGACACACTGTATATACTGTATATCCTCATGCACATTTTCCTCCTTTTGGCACCTTCTTCTTTTTGACTATAAAGCTTAATGTAATAAGTAAATTTCGACAGAGGACGGCAACGGCATGGATGGACTGCAAAGAAATAAAAAATTGGAAGAGTTTGGAGGGAGCTTTTATGGAGAAAAAAATATACAGACAATCTAAATATTGAAATCCAATTTCAGAATTTTTCAGCCTAGGTATCAAAAATAAGATGCATGGATGGAGGTTTATTGGTGAGAATAAGCCAAAAGCATGAAGAGAATGTTTCAGGTCAATAGATAGTTGGAGAAGGAGAACCTGAACCGGCTATGCATGACTGCTCACCTGCCAGAGAGGATCCCTCTCCGATGGAAACAAGCTGAAGTACTTCTGAGCCAGCTGGATGGGAGGCAGAGTCTGCATCTTCAGGTTGGTCCACATCTTCACAAACATCACCAAGCTTTTGAAGGTGTACAGACCAAGCCGGTCGTTCCCATAGTTGGATAGATGGGTCATGAAAATGCTGATCTATGAATGGGAGGAATCAAGAATAGAATGTTTAATTAAAGAGAAGGAAGTTTACAGAAACCTGGGAAATGGTGGCTGCTATTCATTAAGGAGGATTTTATTTTCTTCAAAGAGAAAATGTGCTTTTTTAGAGCAGGCTCAGACCTAAATTTGGATGTATTAAAATCAAGTTAAAAACAAGCATATGAATTAATAATAAATGAACATTAAAGCACAGTCCTTTCACTAAAAGAAAGATAAAAGCACAGCAGTTTGGTGCAGCCCATTTAGAGATGGGCTTCATAAATTAAGATCAAATAATAAAACTGCTCCAAAACCATCAGCATTTATTTATAAAAGTCTCAGTAAAATGAATAGCATTTGAGGCGGCTTCAGCTCGGAGCTTTTTCTATTCCTGCAAACAAAACTATGTGAAGAATAAAACCTATTTACACCTTTGTGTTCTGGCTCTATTAAAAGAGTTTCTTTTTTTTTTTTTTACTAAAGCGAAACGCAAACACATCTGAGTCATAATCCCGCACCCTGTTTGGATTTCACTTTGCAACAACGTCTAAATGGGTTTCAAATTGCGCACGACAAAGGCTGTGCTGTGTGTGGGAGAGCGGCTGACTCACAGGGTTCAGCAGGACGGTGAGGAAGAGTTCCCCCCCATTGATGAGCTTGTCCAGTTCGTTCGGGCTGCCTGGGTAGTCTTTATAGAAGATGGTGTGTGTGAAAAGACCACAAGTCTGCCGGGGCAACACCTGCGATGAGAGAAAAGAGACGGTCACAAAAAAAGACAAGGTAACACGACGCCGGCCGGCCGGCCATGGCGCTCTCAATGCACCGGGCGTTTTACCCCCTCCCACACACGCATTGTTTGTTCACAATGATATACTTATTATTCAGCTCATCAAGCCAAAGCAAACCTCTTGTGAGTCTAAATGGTAATTCATGGAAATACATTTACAGTGTGGAGAGTCTGGGGAGCTGAATATCAATCATCAGTCAATGGTGAACACTGTCCATTCAGGCTGCACTATCTCAAGGATGGGAAGGGACTTCTGAGACCGCCAAGGCTGGCTAAACGCTGGCGCAACAAAGAGAGTGGACTGAGGCTATGCTGCCTCTTATCAGCGCTGAAGGTCAACTTGGGAAGAAAAAGATACGCTCTCTTTTATACCTGATGAATTTATGCAAATCCATTATACTTTCTTTACCAAGTTATTCAAAAATCAACTAAGCCGGATCTTTGTAGCTTGCATGTTGACATTTCAGTTAGTCTAACTTTCTGATGACACTCTTCATTCTGCTGCTGAGGCCTGCCTGCCTGCCGGCATATAAAATACATGCATCTCATGCAGGCGATGTTATTCTCTCCCACACAGCGGAAGGAGACAAAAGGACCAAAAGACAGATGGATGGACTGTCTATTTATGGATGTGTGGATATATATTTCTGCAAACTGGTTGGAGATCTTGAGGAAAAAGTAGTAGAAAAAAGTCCAAGTGAAAATGAAAAATATTTGAGAATAAATTTAGTTTTCAAATGGCGCAAAGTGTGGTGAAACAGAATTAAATGATAGATGTTCCAGCGATGCATCATTTAAACAGAGATTATTAATTAATTGGGGTGACAGTGGCGTCGGATGTAGGAGTTTGCCCTGAAATCGAAGGATTGACGGTTCAAGCCCCGGCTCCGACTTTCTTGGGCAAGACACTTCACCTGCATTGTCTACTGATGGTGGTCAGAGGGCCAGGTGGCACCAGTGTACAGCAGCCCCGCTTCTGTCAGTGAGCCCCAGGACAGCTGTGGCTACAATGTAGCTTGCCACCATCAGTGTTTGAGTGTGTGCGTAAATGGTTGAATGACTGAATGTAGTGTAAACCGCTTTGGTCAAATCTCCTGACTTGAAAAAGCGCTATATAAGTATAGGCCTTTACCATTTAAAGTGACCTTAGGATAAATCCATGTGGAACTCCACAAGTGATGTTTGTTTGCACAAGGGCTGAATGATTTGGCCAAATATCTAAATTGAAATGATTTTCAACCAATATTACGATTGTGATTTTATTGCGAGATCCATTTCCACTAACAATAAAACTGAAGATGTTTCCATCAAGGGTTTCTGTTTATTTATGAACTTGAAGGCTTGCTTTTCCAGAATCCAGTGATGCAGCACTTTAACCTTTCAGTGAAAAAGTTCTTCTTTCTACTATCCGCATGGATCTGCATGAAAGCTGCAACTCTCCCTTCCGTGCCTCATGGCGCCAATCTCACCTTAATTATTCACATATAAAGGGCTGGAATTAGACATTTAGTCTTGATAAACGTAATTTGAATAAAATTGAGAGCCTCTAAGATTTGAAAAGTGCATTTTATTAAATTGAGATTATATTCCAAATGCAATTAATTGCCCAGCCCTAATTTGCACACAAATCTAATGAGTCTGTATAGATGGGTAAGAGTATTAAAGTAGTCTTACGCTAATGCCGCTATGGACGAACCCTCGCCGGAAGCGAGCAGGCTTTAGGTGAGGGTATTCCTCTGTGCTGGTCACTTTGATTCCCCAAACTCTTTTCCAGGCGTCGTACAGCTGCATATGTACAGGGTAGACCCCGGAGTGGTGGGGGGCCACAGCGTAGCCCATGTTCGTAGGAATCCCGTGCTCCTGGGAGAGAAATTACATGAATAGGGGTGTACAAGGTACATGACCCTACAGTGATCTAGATCTGCTACAAAGACTAACATTTATAGAGAAACGCAAATGTTTAATTTGAATTAACTGCAGATATTCCTGCATGGATGAATGGATGGTTGAAGGAATGACAAAAGGATAAAACAACAAGATGGAGAATAAACAAGATGGACTTTGCCATCTTAAAGCAATACAAGAAATGCCTTACATCTTTCAACAACTAATGAAAAGTTTTAATATCATTCTGATTTAAATTTAAGACCTATGTGAATAGACATTAAGAAAATATATGTATCTATTTTTTTGATTCAGTTGGTAAAAGTCTCAGATTATAGCTGTGATTTTCCAAATACGACTTAACTGCATTTACCTTCATTTTACACCCACTTAAATGGCATACCTCCTTAAACAGCAAACTGCCTTTTGTATTTAAAATCTTTATCTTCATCGAAAAACACATTTCTTATTTCTTCCAGCATCACCTACGCAGGTTTGCCAGAGTAACAAAAAGTCCCACCAACCCATGGAAAAAAACATCTGAACAAACCCAGTAAGCAGAGAAACAACAACACTGCTCATCCCTGTCTCCTTAAAACAGCAAACCCCAACAAAAAAACAAACAAAAATTAAACTATAAATAAATTATTTGGAATGTGGTGACATTTAAGAATTTAAGGTCTAAAATAAAGATTGTAGGGCTTATATATAAAAACTACAATATAAAATGTGTAGCTGCATAATTCTGGCTCTTTAATGCTTACATTTGCATTAGCAGCTGTATTTTCCATATTAAAAAAAAAACCATCATAAAAAAGCTATAAGGTGGATAAATGGGTTAAACCACTGTGCATGCAGATGTTAGACACTTATCACCAATGAACTGGGAAGTTTGCAAAATCATTTTGGTTTTACTGAAGATTGAAAAGGACAAAAAAAAATTTACATAGCAGATTTCCCTCAGCTAAGCTTTAATTATTGATTCAAATAAACCTATTCAGCTGAGAAAACCCTTTTGAACATTTGATTTAAAAAATGCATAGTTTCGGCTGTGCACTTCATTGTTTAAGGTTATTAGATCTGGATGATTCAAAGTTTTACCACCTAAGCTTCATTCCAGTCATGTTTATGAAGGTGACAGTGAGAAGCAGGTGGTGTGCAGCACTGCTCAGTAAATCAAGACGTCTACATCACTTAAGTCCTCAAAATGTCACGTCTTTCTCACAACACTCAACATCCCACAACAGTTCATATTAGCATGCTGACCTCGCAGTGGTGAGTGATCCCCATATTTCTGTCACATGTTTTATGTTTTTGTTTGGCATATTTTTCATATTCCCTCATGTTCAGTCACAGGAAGAAGAAAGAAAACCTTCCGTCAGGTCTAGGGGTTTACATGAGGACATTCAGTTGTGTTACCCATTCCTTACGTTTTCCGCATCTCACCTTAGGTGCATAGAAAAACCGATTTTACCCTTTCATCAAAAATCCCCAAAAAGTTATAAACAATTCACTGGATTTTGTTTCCAGGTTTGAAGACGTTTCGCTTCCCATGCAGGAAGCTGTTTCAGTTCAAAATGTCAGAAATAGGGGCGAGTTCGATGCTTTATAGAGTGGACCAAAGCAAAGCCTTGTTTTGGCTTAGAAAACAGGCAAATTGGACCAGAAGAACGGGTCCGCCCCTTAGGAAAGGAGAGTCATTCTGGTTCTTTGCTGACCTGCAATACCTGATACTGGTCTATGTCTCTGAAAGGGGATCGTTAGGGGAAATTGTTGGCCTGGCTGAAGGAATCTGAGACTGGTTCTGCTGGAGGTTTCATTCTGTTAAAAGGGAGTTTTCCCTCTCCACTGTCACTACAAGCATGCTTAGTGTGAGGGATTGTATTTGAGTCAATCAGTCGATGCAATCAACTGATTTTCCTTAAATAGAAATCTTTTAATCTATATGACTGTATGATCTGGTTGTGCCTTGAGATGACTTGTGTTGTGAATTAGCGCTATAGAAATAAACTGAATCGAATTGAATCAACTGTATCGCTGCATTGTAGGTTTTTTTAAAACTGAAACTTGATCCACCCCCCCTTTTAAACCACCTGTCTTCTTTGTCCAAAATGTGAACAATGTGTTTATTTTGTTTTGGGCCACTCTATAAGCTTTAAACTTAATGCTAATTGTAATATTTTAAATAGAAAAAGCTTCTTGGATGGGAAACTAAAAGTCGTTAAACTTCGAAACAAAGTCCAGTGGATTGTTTTTAACTTTGTTGGAATGACGATGACCTGGATGACTGAGAATCTTCACCAGCTTAATCAAAGATGAATCCCAAATGGAAAATTTTTTGGATAAAATATTTGAACCCCATGATTGAAAGGTTTTTAGAACCGTTCCTAGACGCAGCTGTAAGCTGCTTATTTCACTATTTTAAGCTGTATGCAACAGAATTTCCTTTTGTATTCACTCAAAATAACAATAAAGTTTGTCTAAGTCTATAAAATCAAGCAGAAATCTTTTTAGTATAAATATCAGTTTCTCACATTATGAGGCATTAATGGCCCAACTTCAGCTGTCAGACACTGTTTATGTCAAAGACGCTTCGCTATACAGATGAGTTCATGGTTGACTAGAGGGCAATGCCCAGAGCATCAACCCACCATTACCGAGCTAGAGGATGCATTAGTACTTGGTTTCCTACCCACAACTCTCTATTCTTCATTTTCTTGTTTCCATCAACAGGTTTTGTGGTTTCTTAAAATAAAAATAAGAGAGTTTGCTGCTGTTTAAGGTTTTTGAACTGTAACATTTAATTCATTAACTGAGGCCGAACCACTGAAATGAGGCTTGTGGTTGTTTTTCAGTTTCTCTGAGCACTTTGTGTCCTCCGGGTAAATTTTCTAGAACTTCTGATCCTGGGATTATTAGCAGCTCAGCCTTATCTGCTCACACTGAACTCAGTGAAAGTGTTCATGACTGAATGAAAAAGAAAACTAGACGCCTGTTGCAGAAGCTATGACACAGCAGGACTTTTTCCACAGAGTTTGCTGCTTTATATTTGTTACAGGTCACCTTCAGTTGTTTGAGAGATAAATCAGACTGTCACACTAAAAGACAAGCTTGTACAGTACAAGACTGTAATATTTCATGATTTTATTTTAGAGCTGCAAAGATAAAGAATCTCAATCATCCTCTGAGTTCAGGGTGTGCAATGTAAGTGTCATAAAAAGATCCAAACTTTGACAGGATATTGGATTTAAAGTTATTGTGGAAGATTGCAGAGACCCACCCTTTCCACTTTAAAAAGAAAAATTGCACATGCAACAACCCTGTACTCGCTCCTGAGAGGGAATGCCTTTTAAATGCGTGCAAGGTCGTGCATGATTCCTCCTCGTGCACGCTCTGTTTAAAATATTGCTGTTTGCACCACTCATACAAGCTTACTTTGCAAAAGAGGATTTGAAATTTTTCCACTATGTCAGACTCACCACCGGTAAGTGAAAATTGAAAACAAGCACGTAGGACGGCCTTCTGTAAACATGTCACCAGAATGATTGACAATTAGGAGGACCACTTATTTTGATGATCCACCCAGAAAAAGAACATCATCCACTCTACCTTTAAATGTCTGCATAGTGGGGATATAACTAGTCACCTGGATGGACTCTTAAAGGAATAGTACACCCAAAACATGATTAGCCTTCATTTTCTACTC